TTATCGCACGCTAATTCCCGCGATATCGCGGCTATTTACCGCGCGATATCGCTCTCCAATGCATGGCAATGGGGCAAAGGGTCCTGCTGTCGCGGGTCGTGCGTCGCTACAGCAGGACCCTTTTTGGAGCGGATTTTGGCGCGATTCCAGCTTGCTCAATGCAAGCATTTGCGCTATATCGCACGACAAACGCGCGATATCGCGCAGAATGCAAATTGCCCGACAAACGCGCGATTTGCAAATCGCTTAGTGTGAATGAAGCCTTGTCACAGGCTTCAATCAGCATTCAGCCTACCTGGGCAGCCAACCATTGCTACTGGCATAAATGTCCCAAAATGTCAGAAATCCAGCAGAAGAGGAGCATCTGTGCTTTATTTTAACTCTTCCTAAAGGAACTACCGTAGGTTTATGACACATTCCTGTATCTTTGCTCAGTGCTTCTCGAGAAAAAGGCCTTTATCACCAGGTCTGACAGGGTGCTAAATCAAGGGTACTTTGCACAATACTTATCCAGTGATAAAGCTGTTCTCTACTTTTCTCCCTTTATTAAACAGGTACATTCCCATTACTTTCTGTGTACTTATCACCAGGATGAGAAGAGGTGAGATATTTCAGTTTCTACCTGACTTATCACGGGTTATTAAACAGCATTTTCTAGACTTTTCACTTTGCTAAGGTGAGAAAAGCCTTCTCACTGCTTATCACACTCTTTCACAGTTTATTAAACGTTCACCTAAGTCTGGTAAAAACATACAGAATATGGCTTGTCAACTTGCAAAACCTGCTTAAATGTCCTCATTGCTTCTCATTTCCTATCCTGTTGATGGATGTCAGACAGAACAGGAAGAGAGATGTCCTTTCTCAGGAAACAGACAGCATTGAGAAAAACAAACAGGCAAGCTACAAAAACTGGACCTGAGCTTTAACTATTTCAGGTTCGTGGTGGTGGTAGTAGTAGTAGCAGCTTAATATGAGAAAAGGGGAGAAAATGGTAATCAGATCTAAAGTGCATTCAGAAAGTATACAGACCCCCTTCACTTTTCACTTTGTTAGGTTGCAGCCTGATACAGTTGTTTTTTTCTCTCTCCAATCTACACTCAGTACTCCATAAAGATAAAGTGAAAACAGCATTTTAGAAATGTGAATTTATTAAGAAGAAAAAACTAAAATATCACATGTACCAAAGTATTCAGACCCTTTACTCAGTACTTTGTTGGAGCACCTTTGGCAGCAATTACAGCCTCGAGTCTTTTTGGGTATGATGCGACAAGCTTTGTAGTCAAGGCAGTGTCAAAAAAGGAGTACTTAAGACAGATTATTCACTAGAGTTCCACTTCATTCATAAATTCCTCTGTCTCCAATTCTAAAGTAGCACTGCAATAGACTGAATCCAGCCTAGGGCTGCAACTAACCATTATTTTCATCATCTATTAGTTGGCTAATTTTAGTTTTTTTTCGATTGGATAAAATTAAAATGAAATACCATCTTTTATTTAACATAAACTACACAACTTGAGTGTTAACCTAAAGTTTACCTCAGACTAAAACGGCATGCACGTTTTTGTTTGCAATTGCACTAGAATGCACAGCATTGCGGTACCAGGTGATCGAACTGCGAGCGGGAGGCATGTTTGGAATGCCATTGAAATGAAAGGCACCAGAACCCACAGCAGAATTTTTTTATATATATAAAATGTAATTAATTGTATGTATTATATTAGTCATTTTAATTAGTTTCATGGATTTAACATCTGAATTGTAAAACTCCAACTAATATAATAAAATAACCAAACTTTTATTAAAAATAACAGACCAAATGTGGACAAAGAATACTTTTTTTTTTTAAATTATATATACAGTATCTCACAGAAGTGAGTACACCCCTCACATTTTTGTCAATACCTTAATATATTATTTCATGTGACAACACAGAAGAAATTACACTTTGCTACAATGTAAAGTAGTGAGTGTACAGCTTGTATCAGAACAGGCCTTGCCATGGTCGACCAAAGAAGTTTAGTGCACGTGCTCAGCGTCAAATCCAGAGGTTGTCTTTGGGAAATAGACGTATGAGTGCTGCCTGCATTGCTGCAGAGGTAGAAGGGGTGGGGGGTCAGCCTGTCAGTGCTTAGACCATACAACGCACACTGCATCAAATTGGTATGTATGTCTGTCCTCCAAGAAGGGAGCCTCTTCTAAAGATGATGCACAAGAAAGCCCGCAAACAGTTTGCTGAAGACAAGCAGATTAAGGACATGGATTACTGGAAGCATGTCCTGTGGTCTGATGAGACCAAGATAAACTTATTTGGTTCAGATGGTGCCAAGCGTGTGTGGCGGCAACCAGGTGAGGAGTACAAAGACAAGTGTGTCTTGCCTACAGTCAAGCATGGTGGTGGGAGTGTCATGGTCTGGGGCTGCATGAGTGCTGCCGGCATTGGGGAGCTACAGTTCATTGAGGGAACCATGAATGCCAACATGTACAGTGACATACTGAAGCAGAGCATGATCCCCTCCCTTCGGAGACTGGGCCGCAGGGCAGTATTCCAACATGATAACGACCCAAAACACACCCCCAAGACCACCACTGCCTTGCTAAAGAAGCTGAGGGTAAAGGTGATGGACTGGCCAAGCATGTCTCCAGACCTAAACCCTATTGAGCATCTGTGGGACATCCTCAAATGTAAGGTGGAGGAGCGCAAGGTCTCTAACACGCACCAGCTCTGTGATGTCATCATGGAGGAGTGGAAGAAGACTCCAGTGGCAACCTGTGAAGCTCTGGTGAACTCCATGCCCAAGAGGGTTAAGGCAGTGCTGGAAAATAATGGTGGCCACACAAAATATTGACACTTTGGGCCCAATTTGGACATTTTCACTTAGGGGTGTACTCACTTTTGTTGCCAGCGGTTTAGACATTAATGGCTGTGTGTTGAGTTATTTTGAGGGGACAGCAAATGTACACTGATATACAAGCTGTACACTCACTACTTTACATTGTAGCAAAGTGTCATTTCTTCTGTGTCGTCACATGAAATGATATAATAAAATATTTACAAAAATGTGAGGGGTGTACTCACTTCTGTGAGATACTGTGTGTGTTTATGTGTGTGTGTGTGTATATATATATACATTTTTTATTAAAGCCCAGTCATGAGTTTAGAGTTGGCCATGAATATTGACCTGAGAATTATTTATCTCACTCAGGCGCACGCAACGATACCTGATGTGTAGTGGAATTGTTGCTTTTGTCCTGTATGGCCTTGTCTTCACAGCTTTTTAAATAGTTAT